GTATGTGTCCTTCTCCCTAAAGTGGGTCTCTTGTATGCAACATATTGAAGGTTCTTGCTTTATTATCCAGTCTGCCACTCTATGTCTTTTGATTGGAGCATCCAGTCCATTAACATTTACAGTAATTAATGATAGATTTGAGTTTATTGCCATTTTGAACTTATTTTTGCAGTTGATTTGGTATATCCTCTTTGTTCCTTTCTTCTTCCTTTTGTGATTTGGTAATTTCCCTTTGTATTATCTTGGATTTTTTTTTTTAGTTTTTGTGACTCACTTGTAAGTTTTTGGCTTGTGGGTAATTTAATAGCCCAATGTATTTCTGAATGTCAGTGGAGCATATAAGACCTAGTTAATCACAGCTTTCTGAAAATATTATTTTTCATCAATAGTATACAATGTACCATTTTAGCTGTTGTAAACTAGCTTTCAGACAGTCATTTAATCTTAATAATAATATAATCATGTGCTCTTTTTCTTACAGCTTCACCTTTTACAACTCCACCTGTCCGTGAAGAAACAATGGCAAAATATTCTAACCTTTCTTTGGAGAGTCATAACATATCACTGACTGGTAAATGTATTGTGTTTCAAATAATACAATGCCCAGATAATCTTTTGATTTTTAATTAAGCCACTGTATATTACGTTATGAAGTGGTAATCCCTGCTCATGGTCTAGTGGGAGAAACACACCAGCACCGTATACAGTTATAATATAGTGTGATGGGAATCTAATGTGATGAGGGTGGTGTGCTCTGTGTGCAGGGAGGGAGCAGCTAGTTAAGATGTAGGAGGCTTAAGAAAGGTTCTCTAGAAGAAGGACTCGTGGGAAGAGGGGAGGCTTCGTTATGATTTGCAGGTACTCTTTCAACACATCTTGCTGGCACATCCATTCAGATCACTATGCATTGAGAAGAGAATTCACGTATCTACTGGAAGACCTTCAGGCAGATAAATTAAATGTTATCAATGAGCCAGCGATGTTGCTATGGAAAAACAAGGAAAGAGTCCTGAAATAAAACTCAGTTCTGCTTTCTTTTTACAGCTTTGTATTCGAGTGTTTCAGAAGTAATCTTAGAATTCTTTAATGAGTAAGAGTAGTTATCTGTTTTAATAACAATATTACAGATATACTTAGAATTTTAAACCTGTTTATTAAGTCTAAAATAAGTTTTATCCAATTATATGTCATCTTTAACTGTCCTCTAGTCTTAAGAACTGTTTCTCTATTTCTGTTTAATATGAATAAAAGGTGCACTCCTCCCACTAATCTGATACCAATGGAATGTTTGCAATGAGTTGCTGGTAAAACATTTTTATGACTTTGTGCAATCTTTGTTTGTTCTCAGATGTTCCCACTACAGTATTTGGAGCATTTTCATAGTTGTAAAAAGTCATTACAACACTCCTGTGGTGTTACTTGTTCTACTTTTTGCATGTTCTAGTTGTTGATTTCCTTTGTTAGGATGAAATATTTCTTTAAGGGCGATTCATGTGAAAACATAAGTTTGCAAATCTTTTGACTAACCCAGTAACACTGGCAGTAGCACACCCCTTGCTTGTCCAGAGTAGCTGGAGTCTCGGGGAAAAAGGAGTCAGGTGCCCAAAGAGACAGCAAAAAATGCACTTTTTAGTTGATGTCAGGTTGGTTGTTTACTTATTTAACCTGTTTGGAGGGTTTTACTACTAACCGCTATTTTATTCCGATACTGCTATTAAAATCAGTATTGCTACTGTTAAGAAGAGAACAGGTGTTCACAACTAGCCATTACTTATTTTCTGCCTTGGCCTGATCAAACTTTAGTCAGGTTTTCCTCTTCCTCCCAGGCCCCTGAACTTGGGCTTGCTCCTACTCTGAGCAAGTGGTAAATGCATGGACACAGCCCAGTTGTGCTGTCTGCTGCCACCCACTGGGTTGCTCCATTTCTTCTCAAAAGTTCCTGCTAGTCTGCTTACTCCTTCCTATAAAGAGAAGCCTTCTTTCTATTTGACTTTGAGATGCTTGTAGATCCAAAGCTTGGAGCACGTTCCCTATTGCAGTAGACTTTTAGGATAAAGTCTCTCTCCTTATTTAAGTCTGGATTTGTTTTTATTTGATACAAGAAAAGATTTGACATTCATTTTGAAACACTGGATCTCTGAGCTGTGACCCTGGTGGTGGCCTTTCCATGTAGGTGGTTGTTCTGGTTGCCTCCCCATCAAAAAGTTTAGTTTTAAGAACTGCCTTTATTGAAATATAGAATGTAAATCTGAAGATGTGCTTATGCTTATTAGGAGCCATAGGCTTTCTTCTTACTGCTGTCACTAGGATTTTTAATCTACTTCATGAATGTTTTCATATTTTGCCATATCATTGCTTATTTGAATTGTGCTTAATTTCTATGTTGTTATTCATTATTTTCTCTTTCCTTCTGGCCATTTTAGAAGGTGTTCTCTCTGTTAGGATAAAATGTTTCTGGTAGAGGGATCCAAATGTAGTATATTAGTTGCTGATTTTGGGCTAGAATGACAACATTTGCCAGTTCTCAGCACACTTACTTACCCAAAGATGCTTGAGACTGGGAAACAGAAGTCCTGTGCCTCAGAGAGTGAAAAACATGACCTTTGATCCATGAAGGCCAGTTGTTTACTTGTTTTATGGTTTTTAAAATATTGCTAATCATTTACTTAACAGAAACATGGTATTGAGCATGTATCATGTATGTGTTTCTAAATATAACTTCATTTAAACCTCGTAAGAACCCTAAGCAATGGGTACCATTATTATTTGCAATTTGCAGATGAGGAAAAAGAGGCACAAAGAGATCAAGTGAACTGACCAGGGTTACAGGTGGTAAGTTGGGAGATCGATTTTGAACCAGACAGACTGGCACCAGGGGCATGCTATTAACCATTATGCTATGCAGCCTTTCTTAATGCCCAATTACTCATTTCTTTCAACAGCATTATTAACACAATTATACCTATTTCAAGGAAACTTGGATTAGTTTGTAAACTAAAGTTTCGGAAACAATGAAAACAAAGCTATTTTAATTGCCCTTTGCCAAATAGATTTGTCTTGGAAATGACATTTACTGAGATAATGGATATATTTGTAAAACAATAATCAACTTGACTAAGAATAAAGTGTTTTTTTTTCTAGTCTAATATCACTGGGTTTCAAGAATTGATCTTTTAATAATGGACTATTTTTACATCACTGTACTAGGTTTCACAATGTCAACATATGGAATTCACTGCATTATTGCAATGGGAGTGTTTCTTTATTGTTTTTTTTTTCTTCTCTGTGTATGTAATAGTGTTTGGTGTCTCCATCAGTGTGTTACAGTTTAACCAAAGAGGTTAAAATCAAAATACCAGCTAGCAGTTTTCTTGACTATCCTGGTAATGTTGGCATAGGCTCTCCCCAGTGGTACATTTTATTTACCGTATTGAGATGTAAGCAGCTGGCTTGGCAAGGACCTGGTGAGACAGGGAGGTAGACACAGCAAGTACTGGAGCTACAGATATGTACATTGACGCACGGAGTAAAATTTAGGAAGATTAGTCAAGGTCAGGAAAGGCAGCCATGCTGCTTAGACCAGCTAGGCAAGAAGTCTGGGTTAGGACCACTTGGATTCCAGGTTCAAGTGCTTGGTCAGCGAGATTGAGAAAAAGAAAAGAAGTGAGAGACCCTTACACTGGCTGCTCAGATATTTTGTTGCAGAGGAGATCCTAAAATGACTCCAGTGAGATGCAAATGTTTATGCTGTTTCTCAGGAGCAGACTGCCAGTCATTAAATCTTATGTAGATGGTTGAGGTAGAGAGGGGAAAAAATGTGAATCCCAGCATTCACAGAGAGTGAAAGAGAAGGTGGAAGAGGGATCCACCATAGTAACACGAGTGATAGTAGCTGTAAGCAACTTTGTTTTACACTAGGGATTCTCATTAGCAGAAAACCTGACATTTTGGGTTGGGTGATTTTTTGTTGCTGGGGTGGGAAGTCCCCCATGTGTTTTGGGGACTGTAGGATATTTAGTGGCATCCCTGGCCTCTACCCACTAGATCTGAGTAGCACCCACCACATTGTGACAACCAATGATCTTTATAGATATTGCCACATGTCCCTGGGCAAATGAAAATATCCTCAGTTGAAAACCATTGCTCTACACATAAAAAAGAAGAGCTGTATAACTGTTTCCTGTCCCCTCAACAAGGGAAGAAGATGATTTAATAATCGCATGGTTGTTAACATTTAATAAAAAAACTCACCAAAAAGTTAGATGATGGTGCTGAGTAAATGGGACCTCCAAGAATAAGTGGGACAGTGGTCCTGATCGGTTACAGTCCCGTCTTTCCCCTTCCCTCTTGTTGGTGTTCAAATCCTCCCAGTCTTTGAAAATTAAGTCAAAATCTATCTCTTCAACAAAGCACAAATAAAGAGGTGTACTGTTCCTGTTTCTCTGATATATATTCAGCATTTTTTGGTTAATTTAAAATTACATAAGTAAAAATGAGTTCATTTCAAGAAATATTAAAATGTCATTTTATTTCCAGCAATACAATAAATTAGAGAATCTGAAAATTCTCCTGCCACACCTAGAAAATCTAAAATATAGCAAGCATTCTTTTAAATATATAGCTAAGTACTATCGACAGATATAATCAATAAACCAATCTATAGTAGGAATGGAAAAGAGTTTTATTTGAACCAAACAGAGGATTATAGCCCAGGAGACACAGATTCAAGAAGCACTTGAATGGTGTTCTGTTGGTCTACAAAATGGGGAAGGTTTATAAAGGCAAAAACCGCAAAATTAACATACGTTGTTTGTCCAGAATTAAAATTAGAGCTGGCAAGAAGTAAGGTGCTTGTTAACAAGGGTTGGTTGAGGTCCGAAATGGTTGCATAGTTACAAGGGGAGACCTTAAAACTACAAGGTTGCAGCTGGCAGCTGCTACCAGATACTGTTTGGAGAATGGCTGGTGGTGTCCTTGAATCTGATACAGTTCAGAAAATTCAAGTTCGCAGTGCTGCAGGAACATGTCTGAAATCCCATGCATAATAGCCATCCAGGTCCATTTTGAATGTCTGAACCACAGTTACTCCATTTTGATTTTTAAATGCTTTCTTTTCTTCAAAAGCAGATTTACAATGCATGTTTGACAAGTCTTAAGACAGGCTGTTGTAGTTAGTATAAAGTTTAAGTTAAATTGTGTATAAGTCAGAAAATTTCTTCCATCAGTACACACAAAAAAGTAAAGTCAGTTTCCACTGACCCAGACTGGTGACCAGGCATCAAACCTGTGAATTGACGTCATGTTAGGTTTCCTTGTGTTTGTCACCAAGGCACTTGAATTCTAAGAGACACAGACCTAAGAAGAGTTTGAACTTAAGCAAGGAGGGGAGTTGGAACTGAAAAGCCCCAGAAAACTGGTCCTTCCAGAAGGCTGGAACTGAAAAGCCTCATAAGTCTATAACACAAAGGATTGATATGGGGGAAGAAATCAGCCGATCAGTACAAGGCAATGATCAGCTGTCTTTTTGCTTTTAGCCTGTTTTGCACCAAGACCAAGACTCCCCTGGGTATT